ACAGTTTTTCTTGCCAAAGTAATTGTGGTTGCGTAACTTTGACCTCTGTTTGGACAAGATATTGATCTCTCCTTGCTCTAATCTGACCTAATTACTGTGTTTTCTTTACTGCCCTCACCCGGGAGAGATCTAATTACTTCTTTGAGGTGCCAGCCCCACTTGAAATCACCAATCTGCTTTGCAGCTGAAGGAGAAGCAGAGCATCTGTCAGCACATTGTCACCTCCTTCTCTCCTGCAGAAGCAGTGGCAGCTGGAAGATTTCTCATTTCATGTTCAGGGTTATGAAGGGATTGATGTCTCTTTTTCTCTGAAATAACCTACTGAAGGAAAGTTAAGATTTGGAAAGATATTTTTTAATATGCTGACCATGTTTCATGCTATGTCTCTGTCATGGAGTCAACCAGAGAATTTCCTTTTAGGCTTTCATAGAATGATTGGGAAACATTGCTGAATATTTCTCAATTAATTGTTGGATCTTGTTTATGCTACGGCGTGTCACTTCTAGCTCAGACTGTCAGTAAACCTGGAAGACATTGCACTTTCCTCTCAACTATAGTATTACACATTGTCTTTGGTAATTCATGAGCTGGAAGATAAGTAATGCTGATTCCATGAAAAGATCAACAAGCTTTGTGAAGATTCATTGCCACCAAAATATTTCTAGAATCACTCTATAGGTATTAAAAAAAGGTGTAATCATTTACCAACATACCAGTTTAATAACAAAACTAAAAGAAACAAAACTTACCAACACATAGGAAACATATTTTCATACCAATTAGCTTACTCGGGGCTGGGTATTTAGCTCAGCGGCAAAGCGCCTGCCTGGCAAGCGCAAGGTCGTGAGTTCGGTTCCCGGTACCAGAGAAAAACCAAAAAAAAAACAAAACAATTAGCTTACTCGTGCAAACAATACCTGATGACATATTTTACTGGGGGCCCTGAAGGCCTCTATGTCTGCCTGTGTTTCCAGTAACTCTGAGCTTAGGTTAGATACGAGATGTACTTTCCCTATTGGTGTGGTGTGGATGTGGTTTGGCTACTCAAGAGGTCACGTGTTATCAGCCTGTAGCCTGGTCCTCCAGCAGTGGTCTGGGAAGCAATAAGACTTTTGAGAAGTGGGATTTAATCTGAGGTCCTTGTGGTCACTGGAAGAGCTACTCCCACAGGGGAATGAGGTGACCTCCTCAAACCCTGTGCTTTCTCAGACTGCACTACTGTAAGAGCAAACCCCTTCCCTCAACTGTTTTGTAATGTAATTTCTTTCTCTCTCACACATTTCCACCATCTGCCACAGGGCTCTTGTCAGAGCTAATGCTGTGTTGTTTGAGCTTTCAGCCTCCAACACTAAAAGTTAAACAATTTTATTTTCTTTATGAAGTAACCTACCTCTGGTACCTTATTATAGTTACAGAAAACTGACTGATACACCTATTTTTCCACCATGAAAACAAGATTATTTCTTCAAATTCCTTGAGAGTGATGTAAAGGTTTAAAATACGTTGGTCTTTTTTGACTTCCTCAACATCAGCTAAGAACAAAATGGTACTTTTGTTGCAAAGAATGGGCTAATATGATTTCTTATCCTCACAACTGAGGTGAGGGAATTTTCCCTTTCACTCACCCCACGTAGTACCAGCAGATGTTTCAAAATAGAATCAGACAGTGGAAGCAACAGTGTGAAAACCCTGCTAGACAACAGGAATATTTTCCTTTTCGTAGAACCTACTTTCATCCAGTGAATTTTCTGTGTCTTCAGCATTGAACCCATGCCACAGGTTGCTGCCATAGATGACCTTTCCAGCAGTGGAATGGACAAGATTGTCATGCACGATGTGGCCAGCTTTTCCAGTGCTGAGACTAAACTGCTGACACCCACCAACTAAAGCAGAAGAGATTTATTCTGGCTCACCATGTCAGACGCTCAAATCTATGCTCCCGTGACACTAAGGCAGAAACACATCACAAGCTACAGGAGTGCCTCGCATGAGCTGTGTGCAGCTCCATCTAGAAGTGAAAACCTATTCATGTTGCACAATGATCACTCAGTCATATCTGCATTTGCTTAAGTAAGTATTTAAGCAAAGTATTTAAGTATTTAATCTAAAATAGAATCTATGCATAACACTGTACCTGCAGCATTGTACGATCTGGGTCATATAAAGGCTACTTGGGGCGCAGGGGAGAGCTGCTTACTGAATGGTGGCTAGGAAGCAGAAAGCGGGGGGCAGCACCAAAGAGGAAGGGCCCAGGGCCAAAGCGTAGTCCTCGAGGTTGCAGCTCCATGCCCCACCCAGACACACTCAGTAGCATGCTTTACCGTTGGGCAGGGAAGTGCTCAAGCTGATGAACTTGAAAATCAGAAGTACCCATCACAGTGCAGGCACCCTCCCCATCACGGGCCAGACATCATAGTTTTCCTTGTGAATCTGAAAGCCTTGGCTCACCAGAAGGTCTCCATTTCCTCCTTTGTAAATCTTTTCCAAAGTGAGGTATACACTTGTTCTCTGAGCTTTTGGTTCTCAATCCACTGACATCTAACTTCTCCAGAGCCATCCTAGAATGTCCTCTTTTTCCATGACCTCTCTACTTTTCAAACACTTTCATGCATTTACTACATGCAGGTTACTTTTCTAAGACCTTCATAACATATTACTTAAAGAATATAGATCAAAAATCGTATTTGAAGAGAAACTATCATTCAGAAACATTTTTAGCAAGTTCTCATTATTCATGGTTATATTTAATGTTGCCACAAACCTATGTGACAGACACCTATAATCCTAGCTACTCAGGAAGCTGAGACAGGAAGATAACAAGTTTGAGGCCAGCCTGGACAACTTAGTGAGACCCTGCACAGAACATAAAAATTAAACAAGGGCTGCATGGTAACTCAGTGGGAGAACCCTTGCCTGGCACACAGGAAGCTCTCTGTGCCATCCCCAGCATGAAAATAAGCAAGCAAACAAGCACTTCCGCCTTGATTAGCATGATTAAACTTCTCCAAGACTTCCTAGCTCAGTGGCTTCTCTCACCTTTCTTTGATCTTTTCTAAGACTGCTTTTGCATATGTGTCAAGTGGTCCTGTAACACAATGCATCTCAACCCTAACTTTCTTTTCGTGCCTACAATTTCACAATTTTCTTTGTTCACTCATCCACAGTCTTTAAGAGCTAAGAATTCTAAAATGGAACATTATTTGCTTTAATCTTCTATTGCCCAAGGGTTCCCTTTATAGAAAATGTATCACCTTTGATTTCTTTGCATAATTCAGTTCCCAAGTGTTTTAACTGTACATCATTTGCCCAGAGTGTCGTCAAACTCTTGGGCACAAGTGATTTCACCACATCAGCACCTTGAGCGGCTGGGAAAGTAGACATGTGCACCACACCTCTATAGTTCTCCCCAGGATCTCTAAACCTTGGGCTAAAATTTGGAGACATGTGTGCTATATGATTACTTGCTGAGTTATCCCACTCATGGTAAGAAAAATATATAAAAGAGAGGCAGACATTAAATTGGTATTTTTTAAGAATTTGTATTTCAAAAACAATTTTTAATGTTTTACAACTAAATATTTTTCTATTTAATGTATTCTTTTTTTTCCGGTACCGGGAATCAACCTCATGACCTTTCACTTGCCAGGCAGGTGCTGTGCCACTGAACTAAATCCCCAGCCCCTCTATTTAATGTAAATTTGGAATCTATTCAAAATATAATTTTGTTTCATCATTTAAAATTTGAGAGTTTATAATCACAGGAAAAATAATGAAAACTAAAGCTCAATCTACAAGTGAAAACCTATTTACATGAACAATGGTCATTTTAATTATATCTCCATTTGGTTAAATATTCAATCTAAAATACAATTGACTTTATACATAACATTATATTTGCAGCATTGTATAATATGGATCATATAGTGGCTATTAGATTCAAAATAATATTAAACTACATCATTTAGAACACTGAAAATGTTTTGGGGTATTCATTAAAAAATCATTATAAGCACTTCAGAGAGAGTTGTAAATTGAATGTACATCATTATCATTGATTGATTTAAAGCAGAAACACTTAATATTTTCTCTGGAAATCAGTTTGCCAAACAGATGAGTTATATAGAGAACTTTCTGAAAATAATGTGCTGTTGTCAAAATAACATAAAGTTAGCAAGTTTTTAGGATATATTCTCAAAGATTATCTTGGATTCTTTGAATGATCAAAAATATATGAAGTCTCCTATCAAAGAACAGTTTGAAAACATATTTTATTATTTAATACAGCATTTTATCACACTGAAAATTTCAAATTTTATGGAAAAGCATAAGGAAAATATTAGAATGTCCTTCCCTACATCTGTCCTCACTTATGAATTTCTACAGGTAATCAGTTTCTGGCTTTAAAACTTACATCTACAGCTGCAGTTATTAAATTTGGCAAGTTATTTAATTATCTGAATACATTTGGGATCATACTGCTCTATGATATGCATATGTTACACTTTATTTATTTATTTATTTATTTATTTTTGTCTTTTTAAGACAGGGTGTTTTATGCAGTTCCTGCTGGCCTTTAGTTTACACTGTAGCCCAGGCTGGTCTGGAACTTACAACGATCTTCCTGCCTCAGCCTCGCAAGTGCTGGGATTACAAGCATGTGCCACCATGCCCAGTTGCATATGTTATAAAGAACATCTTATGTTAAATACATATGAATTGCCTTCATTATTTTAGGGGCTACATATTACTTCATCTTATGTGTGATATAATTTACTTAACAGTCTTATATCAATGGCTATTTATTTCATTTCCAGTTGTATTTTGTTCTATTGTTTATATGGTTCAGATAAGCCTACAAAGGTTTATATGTTACAAGTTCTGTATCCAATCTGCACCACTACTGGGAGGCATTGGGACTTTCAGGGGTGGGGCCTAGCGGGAGGAAGTGAGGTCATTGGAGGTGGGGCCTAGAAGGAGGAAGTGAGGTCATTGGAGGCATGGATTCCAAGAGGGTGATGGGCCCTCAGGTCCTTACTCTCTGGTTCCTGCTTCTATGAGGTAACTTCCTCTACCACTCTCCTCCTGCCATCACAGGTGGCTTTATCACAGGCCCAGAAACAAGAGAACCAACAAATCATTGACTGAACCCTCCAGCTGTGAGCCTGAATGAACTTTGTCTCCCGTGAGGCTGACTGTGCAGATATCTGGTACAGTTATGGAAAGTTTGACTCACACAATTACTGAGAATACTGCAAAGACTCTCTCTATGTCTATCTTTCTGTCATCTGAATATCCTACTTCATGTCTCAAGTTGAACTTTCCCTCTCCTTCCTATATATTCAAAGAGGATTTTCAAACACTAGAACTATTTTCACTCTAACTCGGTCAGGTTCTTCCTTGAGTTGATATGCTCAGCATTCTCCATGCACCGTCTTTCTAGGCTTCTGAATTAGTGGTGGGACCTCACAACTGAGACACGTGACAGCTACAGAGAAGTTTCTGTGAGGAATAGTGGTTGCATACCACTGTTCCTATGTGTCAGCTTTTTTTCTTTTCTGGGAAATAAACCGCAGGATATATCTGTTCCCAAATTCACATGCAAAATAATTATCAATCCAAGTCTTAGTAAACAAAACATAAAACATCTGTTTTCTTTTAGCGGAAGCTGGATTTTTTCCAGAGGTCATTCTCATTTAACAGAAATCACCTGGCAGAGGATGTTAAGGATATTTATTTAAAGTATGGCCGTGTGTCACGGCGTGATTATACACAGTTCAGTTCTGAAGGGCAATGCATTGTTTCTGATATGATATTGCAACACTAGAGACTGACACCATTGAGAGGCCGTGCTGTGCCAAAGTCCATGAAAGCGTATATGGCCATTCCCACTCCATCTGCTTCGTTTCTAACCAGAAACGGTTCTTCAAGACTGCATGGATGAGAGCAAAAAGCTTTGAAGCATTTCAGTTGCCATCATATGCAAATCTGAACAGTGGTGAGAAAGATGCCTTCAAGCGCTATCCACCACCTTTCTTCCTCACATCAATCAAGGAACAGCATGGCTGTGTTTTCAAATGCCAGTATTTATTTCCTCTTCATTTTAAGCTTGTTTTCATTCTTTTACATGGCTGTTGAATTCTGATGAGGGGACACTGTCCAGTCCAATCTGTTCAGCCTTCAGGTAATTACTTGGCGTGCTTAAACTCCCATTCCGCTGAAATAAGGTAAGTAAAATGCCAGAATGCGCATTGGCCATTTTAGCAGCAACCTGGCTGTCAGTCTTAACCTTTGTTGACCCAAGTGATGTTGTTTGATACTGTAGCTGTCAAGGACATTTCTGTAGTGACATTCTTGCCTGGATAGGCATTGTGTTCAAGGCTGCACATTATATTACAATATGCATTTTATACTTAATTTTATATTATATACTTTTCCAATTGGAGAGTTCTAGAGAGTGCATAGGAATGGATACATAACAAACCATTTAGATCAAGGAGAAATTACTAAAATAGCCAAGTGGTTGAAAAATCAGTTCAATGTAAGTGTATTTCAAGAAAATAATTGTTTTTTTTTTTTTTTTTTTTGCAGTACCAGGGATAGAACTCACGACCTTGCACTTGCCAGGCAGGCGTTTATGCCACTGAGCTATATCCCCAGCCCTTGAGAAAATAATTAAAAGTAGCAGAAAATTAAATATTAAGTAAATGTGTAGAAGACTGAAAGAACAAATTACAGAAAGAATTATTTTTTGGTATTAACCTGTAAACTCATTAGGCCCAGAAGGCCTCCTACACACAAACATTTTTCTTTTGTGTTTTCCTTCTTGCTAAGTAAGGCAATGTGGACACTAAATTATTTCTAAATGCTTTGCAGTAAAATAACATTTAGAAATGAGGCAGACAACTTTTTCAAAATGGCAGGTAAGTCTGACTGTCAGTACAACTAAAACTGCCTCCAATTCATGCTGTGCAGTGGAATGGAAAGCCCTGGAAATTTGTCAGTACTGTGTCACGTGGGCTCAATGCCACGTGAGCTCAGTGCTTCTTCCTGCCATAATGATGCCTCCAGTTCAATGCTGTCTGTGTTGTTAAAAGTTTCTGTCTGCCACTTAGATGATCATGCAGCCCAGCTAGCCTTGTAATAAAATGTACTGTGTTTATGCAGTTATGCATTAAGTGAGTTTACATGTACTGTCCCGTTTAACTAAGGATCTGTTCATTGATATTTAAGTCTAAAATTATTCACATGTGCATACTGAAGACATTGAGATTATAAAGCAGATGTGTCTGGATTTGTACAAGTACATTTAGAACCACACTTGAACTTAGCTAGGTTTCCTCAGACTGCAGATGTTTATTCCCAGTTCTACAGACAGCATGGACTCCAAGCTGACATTCTCACAGATAACCCTCTAACAATCAGAAAAGAACACACAAGTAACCTGCTGTTGGCCTGCCATCCACAGGTGAGGAGGCTGTCACTCAAGGTTTGCATTCACTCATTGCAGGGCTACACTTTCACTGTCCACCTAGAGAACGTAAGAACACATTGGCTGTCTACCAATGTGAACATTTCTATGTGAAGCAGAGGCAATTTTCTAATAATCCTTCATCTAGAACAACCCTTCTGAGGACTTTTTAACATCCTTATGCCGACTGTGTCCTTGCAGAGAGTCAAGTACAATTAAAAATTTGAAAAAAGAGTAGCACTTGATTCAATTTTTATAATAGCACCCTTAAGAAATTTATACTAGCTGCCTCAAGTCCTAAAAACACAGAAGAAATCACACTTTTTCAAGTAACTCTTTATGAGACTATCTTATGATTTTTTTTGTCAGTTGTAATATTATTCTCCTTTACCAGTCTGAAAAAGCTATTTAATCTTTAATGTCTCCTTCCCTCACACAGCTGAAGAGCACCTCATAAGTCCAGATAATCTATCTGGAAAATTCACTTTTTTGTTTATTATCTGTGTGATCACAGACAAGTCACAATCTGAGTTTTAGTTTCATTAATTATAGCATAGGGAAATAAAAATACGCATTTTATATGGCTCTTGTAACTAGAAACTGTGGTATTGCTCACCTGCACATCCTTTCAAATGTTATTGGACTTCTACTAGCAGCAAAGGCGTTTTAACCATTTCACCAAGTGCATGGCATCCTCTGAAAACTTCATTTCTTGTGTTCTGTTTCTAGACGCAGCTTTCCTGTTTCCCATCTGCTCCATGATCTCATCACCAACCGTTCGGCGCACTCTTCTGAAGTCTATGTTCTTCGCTTATGACAGGCTCTTACAGCGACTAAGAGTTCACATTCCAGTACCAGACACTTCACAACAGAGTACAAATTTTTCACCTTTTAGAAATTTTTTTGGCCTTTACATTACAAGGGAATTTGTCTCAATTCTGGACTCATAAGATTTATTACATGACTTTAAATATTTTGTAAGAATAAAATAAAACAAGAAGCTTAGTCCAGTGCTTGGTAAATAGTAAGCATTTAGTAGATATCAACCATCATATACTAAAATACATGTGACTCATAATATCATTAGATCTCATTAAATTTACCATCATCTTGCTTAACATTTAGTGTCTTTTGAACGAAGTCTATTTGCATTGATTACTAAAACAATATATAGATATCTACCTTTCATATGCATATCTAATTCAACTTCAGATTATGGTGGGAGGGTAAAATAGTTTCATGTGTTCATAATTTAGTACAAACTTGCTGTGAAGGCACATTTCTGCCACAGCACATCCTGCAAAATGCAATATGCATTTTATGCCCTAAATAAACCATGGATTATCAAGTAGGATATTTCATCCACAAAATTTTGTCCAAGAAGCCCTGCCCGAGGAAATGAATGGCTTGTGGCTCTCCAGGACAGAGGCTGGGGGATTGCCATCCGCAGAGCAGAGGGGAGGATAGCCATCCTCGGGGCAGAGGGGAGGGTGGCCACCCGCAGCACGAAGCCGGGAGAAGAGGTGTGAGCACAGCAGCTGCCTCACGTGCGATGGCCCTGTTCTGCAGGGCGCCGTGGGGCGTGGAGTTAGGGTCCCTGAGTGATGGGGTAATGGGCCTTCGTCCTCCTGAGTGATGGGGTACTTGGCCTTCGTCCTCCTGAGTGATGGGGTGCTGGGCCTTCGTCCTCTCTCCGGTCATGCCAAGTGGGTGAACGAGGCATCCCGGCTGGGGAAGAAGTCGTCGGTCCGGGGTTTCCCGGGCGACAGCTGCTCAGTGCAGTCGGACCCGAACTGCGGCGTGGCTGCGCTCCAGCTCTGGGTCCGGACGGGCGCCAAGGGTGGCGGTGTCAGGCGCATCGTGAAAGGACACTTCATCCCCACGGAGCGTTTCCAAACTCGGAACCTTCCGGAATTCTCGTGCTGTCACAAATGTCTGTAATTTTTTACAGTCTCTGGATGCTTAGGACATGCTGCTTCCCGGAGGGAGGTGAGGAGCACAGCGCCTTTCTGCGCCCGTCCTGGGTCCCTCGGGCCCAGACGCGCTCGGCATCGCGGCTCTAACACGGACCCGCGGGGCCTCAGGGCCGCGCCGCAGCCGCAGGTGGGTAGAGCCGCACGCGGGGCCGGGGTCTGCTTCCCGCGGCCTCCGGGGGGCGCTGCCGAGCGGATCTAAACGTTACCCGTAACCTGGAAGAGGCCGTTCGAGACCTGACGTGGTTCATACTTTTTAGAATCAGTGGAGACACCATAGAAAAACACAAGCAACAGGACACTCTAGGGAAACGTCAGAGGCCGGGAAGACAGCTCAAGCCTGGGAAATGTCAGTCGTGTGCGATAAAAGATTTATTTACGCAGTGTGAAATTTTGTGAAAATCTGGTATCAAAAATAATAGAAGAAAAAGGGACAGTAGGAAAAGTAACACGGACAAAATTAAAGATAAGGCAATGCAAGTAACTGTCAGTTGTTCAAAGCAATGAAAAAAACAGGCACGAGTAAATTTTAAAAGTAAAGAAAAAATATTACTCTGATCAGCTCATTTGAATTTGAAATATACATAAAGATTTTTACACACATAGTTTCATAATTATAGTTTTCCAAGGCATATGAAATTAATGTATGAAGTTTATAAAACCCAGATCTATTTGGTTAATAGAAGAAAATTGAATGTAAAATATCTTGCACATTACAGGCTTGTGGATAACTCAGTCTTAAACACACTGGGAAAATGTTAGGAATAGACAGATATTTCAAAGTGCACTGGGGAGCAATAAGGTATTTTATGTTTAGTTTGTGGGGCAAAAATACTTTTTTTTATATATTTGAAGTTAAAGTCTTCTAAGCATTTAATTTGAGAAAATGAAAAGAATAAGACCGACGATCCCTAAAGTAACACTTTTCATTAGATTACACGCTAACAGGTATCGGAGTAACCCCAAACCCCTCTCTAAGGTTTAGGGGTCTACACCCCCACCCCTCCTAGCTGCACCCCCAGGCCGCAGTCTGTGTTCACTATGTGTGATCCAGCAGGAAATCCAGAAAAAGGGACCTAAATTCAGAACCATGTTTTCAGCCGTGGCCAGGATCAGCCCTGGTTTTCGTGGCAGTCCTTTTCTGAAGCAGCTGCTGCGGACGACGCCAGCACTGGGTTTCCGTGATTTTCTGCTACTCTCCACTTCCGGCAAGGGCGGATTGCGAAGGACAAACCTGAACCACACTTTCGTCCATGTGGGGAACAGTGGCTTCTCTTGGTTGAGACCGAGGAACCTCAGCCTGCAGTGCAGAAGGCTGTGTGAGAGCAGGGCCCGGCTGTGTGTGCACCGGCAGCCCTCTCTGCGAGGGTCGGGCTTTTAAGATCACCTTCTTCTGTTGTAGAAGTCTTCCTAATCCAGGATCGCTTAGTAAGGGTGTGCTAAATAAGCCTCTTAGGTAATTGTCCCATTACAAAATAAAAATTTTCAAGTTTTTTTGTGCTACAGCATTCTCACTCCAAAATAGTGAAATTGTGACTTTTTATGGATCAGAATTATATATCTAAAGCCTAACACTTCTGAATGATGTTATATTTCACCTTTTACTTTGTCCCACCCTCGTTTTCTAAAATAAAATGGGATTGGATCACAGTCCAATCAAGTGACAGTGCTTCTCCTAACAGCTATTTAATGCTGAAGCCGGTATAGCCTTAAAACTGGAACCGGGCGTGGGTCCAGTGTGAGCAGATGTTTATTAGTGCTCCAGAGCAGGGTGGACACGTGGAGCTATTGAGTGATCCCGAGCCCTCTTCCTGCAAGCTGCCCACGGAAAGCCGCAAGGCTCTATGGCCTTTCTGAGTATTGCTGTTTTCAGCAATCAAATTTGCATTTTATTCTGCAGGGAGGTTCATCTCTCTCTGCCAGCCAGTATCAGCGTCCTGTCCAGAGTCATCAGACCAGAGCATGGAGGCTTGGACAAATATTTTCCTTTCACTTAGCAAATACCTGTTCCATCACTGAAAAATTAACACCTCCATTACCAGGACTTTTATGACTTTAGAGGGGTCTTAAACTTCATTTAAATAAACAAAAGGGATTTCATAAAAAGTTATACTGCCATGATAAGCCAACAACTTGAAAAAGAGAACAATCAAGGCATGCCGGGGCATCTGGAGTGCATAGGATTCAAAGTGCTCAAAAGGGAAAATAGTGCCTTAGTTATGCTTGCTCACTTTAGTGGAAATTACACATGCATATCAGAGCAGACACAGCTCCTGCTCAACTTAGTGAAAATTCTAATTAAAAAGATCCACACAGTGCTCATCCAATTATACCTATGGACTTCCTGAAACCACTTATGTAAGCAGGAATATAAATTAAAATGGGCTGCCCAAAATATGTAGAAAAATATATCATGTCCTTGAATTTAAAAGAAAGGTCAGCTATTAAACCTCTGATATCTTCTGATCTTGGAGTGTTATTTAAAGAGAGTTCAAAAGGAGGACAAAATAGTTATCTGCTTCGCTTTCTGAAAACAATCAGTAAATGAATGCAATCCAAGCAGTACCTTCACAATGCCTGGTAAAATATCCTGCAGGAAGCTACTTTAGATTCCATAAATTGGTTGAAAGCAGTCTTTATTTTCTAATATTTAGAAACAAGTAAGAATAAATTTCACAAAATGTCAATTAAAAGTTTTAGCTGGGTGTGGTGGTGCACGCCTATAATCCCAGCATTCAGGAGGGTGAGGCAGGAGGATTGTTGTAAATTCAAGACCAGCCTGGGCTACAAAGTGAGCTCAAGGCCTGCCTCAATTGCATAGCAAGACCCTGTCTCAAAAAGACACAAAAAATTTAAAAAATTTGGTAGTGCATAATAGCAGTGTATTATATGACTAAAATTTCCTTCTGCTCCCACATTAACTTTCTGTCATATTTCTTTCTTGCAATTCAGAAATTCTCCACCAACTTTCTACTCTCCCTTCCCTCATTCTATTTTATGAAAGTATTTATAACGTTAGACTATGTCACAGTCAGAATAACATACTATTTCAAAGCTCAACTCTGAGTTGAGGCCAACTGACAATAAACATTAGCTATATCTGCTGTTATCTTGGTAATACTGACCCCGGAAGTAAGGACTAGTGGATTGGTATCAGCTGCAAGCAAAACAAAAGTATTTTCCATTCCAACTTCATTTCTTTCCCTTCCCTTGCAACTCAAGAAGAGACACAAGGTAAGCATATCCATCACTTCAGACTTCCAACATGTGTTCACGATGAATACACTTAAACACCTTTCTTCTAGCTTTTTGAAACACAGAATACACTGTCACCTTGACCTATCTTCACTTTCCCATGCAATACCATGCCACGGCTCCTTGCTGCTGTCTAATTCTGCCTTAGTGGCCACTGGTCAAACTCTCCCCAACCCACATTCCTAAGCTCTGGTAACCATGGTTCTGTTCAATGTCTAAGGTCAACGATCTTAGTTTGTCTGTCTGTGCTGGACTTATGTCACTGATAACGGTTTCTAGTTCCATCCTGGTTGTAGAAATGACAGGTTTCATTATTTTCTATGGCTGAATAATACTGTTTGGTGTATATGTTGCACATTTTCATTGTCTAGTTTCCAGCTGATTTTTGTTTACATTTCTCGACTACTGTAGATAATGCTTTGGCATCTCTTTGACATACTTCATTTCCTTTGCATATATTCCCAGTAATAGAATCTCTTGATCCTACAGTAGTTCTATATTTAATTCCTTATTGCCTATACTATTTTACGGTCTCAGTCACACTATCCGGGGTCCATTTTCCCAAGATTCTTTCCAGTGCTTGTTATCTTTAGAGCTTTCATAACAGCCAGCCTTGCTGGAGTAAAGTTATACCTCACTGTGGTTTAGATTTGCATTTGCCTAATGACGGTGATGTTGAATAGTATTCATATGCATACTGGTTATTTATTGACAAATGTGTCTTTTAATATTTTAAAATGCATCCTTCTTCCACATGTACAAACTGTGTCCTAGGGGTTATAGTTACCATATTTTAAATAACATCAGGCACAT